ACAAAATAGAATACTATTCATCCATAAAAAAGAACCAAATCATGTCATTTGCAGCAGCATGGATGAAACGGGAAGTCAATATGTTAAAGTGAAATAATCCAGGTGCAGAATGCCAGATACCACATGTTCCTGTTCATATGTGGGAGCTAAAAAACTCGAACTCATGAAAATAAAGAATAAAATGATAGACACCAGAGGGTGAGAAGGGTGTGTGGGTGGGAGGAGGGGATGAAGAGAGATTGATTAGTGGGTACAAACATACAGTTACATAGAAGAAATAAGCCCCGATATTCAATAGCAAAGTAAAGTGACTACAGTTATCAACAATGTATTATATATTTCAAAGTAGGTAGATGAGAGGATTTGAAATATTGCCAACACAGAAATGATAAATTCTCAAGGTGACGGATTACCCAAATACCCTGACTTGGTCATTACACATTGTACACATGTAACAAATACTCACATGTGTCCCATAAATGTGTAAAAGTATGTTGTATCAATTTTAAAGAGAGAGCTTAGGCACAGATTTATGTGTAGCATTTGGGGAACAATATATAATACAAGAATATTACACATCAGGCAGATTCTTTACAACCTTGGACAACCGTACTTTCTATACAGAAAAAACTAAAACTGGATACTTACCACACACAAAGTTGTACTCCGAATGGATTAAAGAACTGAACGTGAAAAGTGAAACCATAACAATAATATAAAATACAGAGATGAGAAAAACCTTTTAAATAAAACCTCAGAAGTACAAACCATAATGCAAAAGTAAGAAGAACAATTAATGAAGTTGCTTATAATGAGATGAAGGAATTATGTTCTACAAAGGACACACTAGACAAAATGAACAGAAAAATAACATATTAGGGAACAATATCTTCAATGTGTAAATACAACAAAAAATTAATACCCATGATACATAAGGAAGAAAAAGACCCATTCTCCTTGATGCATTCCTAAAACACATGTCTGTCATATCTGAATGCTTATTATTTGTATAAGAGAAGAAAGTAAAGATTATGAACCCAGTGGAAAAGCAAAGTTTAGCTGAGAAATATTCTTTCTATTAAAATGCTTGTGCCAATAGAGAATATTATGTTAATTCAGTCAAGTCATTGAAACAATTTCTACATGTTGCCAAAACTTTGGTTAAACAAACTAACTGATTTTTTTCTTTTCCCATCCATTTTTATGGCACTAAAAAAAAATAAACAAAAAATATCTATACTTCCCAAAGCAATCTACAGATTCACTGCTATCTCCATGAAAATCCCAATAATATCATCTAGTTCAGGCTGTTATAAGAGAATACCATAGACTGGGTGGCTTACATGGAAATATTTATTTCTCACAGATTTAGAGGCTTGGAAGTCAAGATCTAGGCACTGGTAGATTCAGTGTCTGATGAGGGCCCTCTTCCTGATTTACAGATGACCATTTCTTATTGTATCCTCACATGGCAGACAGAGTGAGTTCTAATCTCTTTCGTTTCTCATAATCTCTAATTCCATCATAGGGGCTCTGCACAATGGAGGGGATGTACAAACATGTAGTCCATAACAGATATTTTTTTACAAAAATAGAAAAAAACAAACCTAAAATTCACATGGAACCACAAAAGACTCCTAATAGCCAAAGCAATCTTGAGAAAGAAGAACAAAACTGGAGGCATCATACTTCCTGATTACAAAATATATTACAAAGCTACAATAATTAAAACAGTACAGTACTAGCATAAAGACAGACAATGAAACAGAATAGAGAGCCCAAAAATAAATTCACAAATTTACAGTCAATTGATAAAGTTGCCAAGTACATAAAATGAGGAAAGGATAGTGTCACCAACAAATTATGCTAGGAAACTGGATATTGACATGCAAAAGAATGAATATTGTCTTATGCCATACACAAAAAATCAATTAATTTTTGATCAACTAATCCACTATTAATACAGTGGATTAAATACTTAAGAGCAAGACCTGAAACTTTAATACTAGAAAACATATGGGAAAAGCTTCTTGACATTGGTCTTGGCAACAATTTCTTGAATGTGACACCAAAAGCACAAGTAGTAAAAGCAAAAACAGACAAGTGGGACTACACCAAACTAAAAAGCTTCTGCACAACAAAGGGAACAATCAACACAATGAAAAGGCAATCTGCAGAATGGGTGAAGAGATTTGCAAACCATATATCTGATGAGATGTTAGTGGCAAAACACACACACACACACACAAATAACCTGATCAAAAATAGACAAAACACTTGAACAGACATTTCTCCAAAAAAGACATACAAATGGTCAACAGGTATATGAAAAGGTGCCCAGCATCACTAATCATAAAAATGGAATCAAAACCACAAGGAGATACCACCTCTCACCTGTCAGAATGGCTACTATCAAAAAAAAAAAAAAAAAAAGATAACAAATGTTGGCAAGGATGTGGAGAAATTGAAACCCTTGTACACAGTTGGTAGGGATGTAAAATGGTACAGCCATTATGGAAAACACTATGGAGAGCCCTCAAAAATTAAAAACAGAACTGCCATATGATCCAGCAATCCCACTTGTGGCTACATATACAAAAGAATTGATATTGGGATCTCGAAAAGATATCTGCACTCACATGTTTACTGTAGCATTATTCATAATAGCCAAGATATGGAAACAATCTGTCCATCAACAGATAAATGGATAAAGAAAATGTGGGATACATTACAATGGAATGTTATTCACGCTTTAAAAAAAGAAGGAAATACTGCTATATGTGATAACATGGATGAACCTGGAAGGACCTGGAAATAAGCCAGTCACAGAGGGACAAATGCTTCATGATCCCACTTAAATGACATATCTAAAATGGTCAAATTCATAGAAGCAGAGAGCAGAATGGTGATTATCAGGGGCTGGGAGGAGGGGGAATATGGAGAGTTATGCAATGGGTACAGAGTTTCAGTTATGCAAGATGAATAAGTTCTGGAGATCCGCTGTACTATAGTACCTATAGTTAACAATACTGTATTGTGTACTTAAAAAAATGTATAAGGGTAGACCCCATGTTCAGTGTTTTCACCATACACAAAACAAAAACAAAAACAAAGGAGCATAAGGAAACTTTCTGAAGTAATGATTTTTTTTATTATTACCTTCATTGTGGTGATAGTTTCACAGGTGTATTCAATGTACAAACTCACCAGATTGTATAAATTAAGTATGTGAGTTTTTATATGTCAATTATCCCTCAATAAAACTATTTAAAAAAATAAGAAAGAAAATGAAGGCATGCTGGTAAATGTTTAACAACTGGCTCAGGGTGGGGATGGGAGCCCATTTGTACTGTTTGCCAATTTTCATGGTGTAAATATTCCCAGCATGACCAGTATCATGTGATATTACTGAACTCAGAGTTGAAAGAGATGCACACATTCTCTCTGTTCAAGCTAGTGCCAGCACACCACTAGATAACGACATTTGGAGGACAATTGGAGAAGTTTGAACGTAGACTGTATGTTGGATATTATTATATTTATACTGACTTTCTTGGTTGTGGTAATGGTAATGTGATTGTGTAGGATGCTGCCCTTTCATGCGAGATGCATGCTGAAAAGTCCTGATGGCATCATGACATTTGCAGATTACTTTCAGATGATTTGGCAAAAAAAAGTGTGTGCCGTGCGTGTGCACATGTGTTGTGTGGGTGGGGAGGAGAAGGTACCAAGAGGTTAACAGTTGGTAACCTCTAGTGTTATAATGAGAAGAATATGGGCGAGGGATACCTTGGTGTTCATTAATGAAAACTGTTCATTCAACTTTTCCGTGGGCTTGATATTTTTCAAAAGAAAAAAATTAATTTCTGCCAACAGAAGATTTCATATTAAAATCTGAAATTTGCAGCTTCTATTGAAAAGAGGCTAAGGGGCCGGGCACAGTGGCTCACACTTGTAATCCTAGCACTCTGGGAGGCCCAGGCGGGAGGATTGCTCAAGGTCAGGAGTTCAAAACCAGCCTGAGCAAGAGCAAGACCCCGTCTCTACTATAAATAGAAAGAAATTAATTGGCCAACTAAAAATATATAGAAAAAATTAGCCAGGCATGGTAGTGCATGCCTGTAGTCCCAGCTACTCGGGAGGCTGAGGCAGCAGGATTGCTTGAGCCCAGGAGTTTGAGGTTGCTGTGAGCAAGGCTGCCACCACGGCACTCACTGTAGCCTGGGCAACAAAGCGAGACTCTTGTCTCAAAAAAAAAAAAAAAAGGGCCTAAGGCCTGACAATATTAGGTTCATGCTCTCAAATAACAACAGCTGAACTGAATAGACAGAGGATGTGCTTTCCAGTCAGATCTTATCTGGTTCACTTTCCTCATTTATGTTTTCTCACTCCTGTAGGCATTTGCGTTTGGGACTCCTGGCTTAGAAACTGTTCAACGAACCATGTTGGCAAATGTCCCTAAACATAAAACCTGAGATGGTCTGTTATGTTAGCTTCCAAACACACAGTGAAGAAAAAAAAATTATGCCTACTTAGTGTATTCTATTGCTGCCACTGCTTATGTAACTATTGCCCTCTGTGGGCCCTACGTTAATATCTAAAAAAAAAAACTAGCTTTATGCTTTCTCAAACACAATTTACCAGCTCCCTCTGCTGACCCAATCTGACCGATGAACCTGTTTAAATTCCTTGTAGGTCTTGAATATTAAAATCACACTTCTGGGGTTAGAGAACTCCAGGCATGGAAGAACTTGATGAGGTAATAATTACCAATTACTAAATAGTTACTAAATTGCTTTGTCCTTTGGACAGCTCCTATGGTGGTTCAAATACCTAATCAGGGTTTTACGGTTGCTTCCAAAAGTGGACAGCCTGTTTCACTGAGAAAGGTGGCTTGGCGCCCTCTAAAGGCCGCGATGAGAAGAGCGCCGCTTGCCACATGCTTTCCATAAGTTGGAAGGCTTTGCCAGAACTGTGACGTCTGGGAGGGTGGGGAAAGGGGCAGGAGGAGTTTGTGTCCTGCCACTCCAACAGCTTTATTCTGACTCATCAGTTGGCCCTCCCTTGAGATCACGGAAGTATCAAGCTGTCGAACTAAACAACTTTTTGTCCTTAGTGAGTATGTTTTCTGCTGTCATCAGCATGGCAGAAAAGACGAGTGGCTTTTGTTTTAAACCGAGAGCACGTTAATCAAAGTCAGCATTCTGTTTATTTTTCTTTCAGAACAAAGAATTGGGGTTTCGAGTTTTTGTTTGTTGTTTGTTTTGTTTTCCTGAGACAAACACTGTCTTTGGCTATTTGAATTTAAGTCAAAGTATCTGCTCTATGAGAACAAGGTAAGTGTCCTGAATTTTTTTTTTTTAATGAGGAAATGTTTCCAGAAACTGCTTTCGAAAAGGATGAATCTTCTGCTTAGAGAGTGCACTGCTTGAGAATGAAAAGTGATTCTCTACTCCTGGAGCCTCTTGATTAGGGTTAAAGCAGTAGAATTAAGGAAAGAGTCAGGTAGCAAAGGAAAGTTGTAAGGAGACAAAGTTATGTCGTGGAGGGAAACCACCCAAAAGGAAGGTGTCAGGGAGGAAAACAGAACTGTAGGACTTCAGAGACGCTCGCCTCACCTCTGATTTCATCTTATGAATGAGATGGGGGTGTCAGGCCCTGGGAAACTCCACCGATGGTGTGACAGGTAGTCCTGTGGCAAAGTAAGAGCACGCTGGGGTGACAATGAGAAATATAAACAAATCAAACTTCAAACTCGAAGAGATCATAATTGATTACATGATTTGCAAAGCACCCAAGTCTCTCCATGTCTCATAAAAGACTTGTACGTTTGCAGGCCGGTCAGGTACAGGGTGGGGTTTTCCTGTTGTTCAAAGGTCCAGTTCAATATCTCCCCACTGCCAGGGAACTAAACATAAGCAACCTTTGAGGCACAGAGTACCTTACGGAGAGCACTTCATAATTTACAAAAGAGTTTGCACGCTCCTCTGTTCTCCCAGTCCTTCAAGCCTGCAGTATTCTCTCCTATCCTTGAGTTCACATCTGTGTTTGGAGGGGGGGGCACCAAGTACTTGGTTTTCAGACATAAAATGAGTGCTTTCAAGCTGGAAGGAAACAAAAAGAAAGCCACTTGAACCCTCCGTTTCACAAATGTGAAAACGATAGCTCAGAGAAATCAAGAATCTTACCCAGACTTGCACAGCTGGCTAGAGGCTGGAGCAGAACTGGAACTCAGAGCTCTCAATTTTCAGTTTACTCACTACTTCCTCTTCCTGACTTCAAGCAATTTTAAAATGGCTGCCCCCACTCAGAAATCCATAGCCTGTGAATATGGACTAATTTTAAAAGGTACAAATTCCCGATTTGTTTCTACTCCCTATAACGGTTTCTAAGTCAGTCTTTAAAAGACAACGTGTTTTGCCCAGTACCTTTTTACCCCACAGCCCACCAGCGTGTCTGCCTAGGTCTGCAGGCAGGACTAAACAGAACAGGGGGTCTGTGAGTGTTCATGCCCAGAACATGCCGCTGTGGTAGGACTTAGCATGAGGCATATAGCACTTGAGGCATATAGCACTGCCCCTTGAGGGCAGTCACTTGTCATTTTTTTATTTCTAAGACATTCTTACTATTATTTAGTTACCGGGTCTTCAGGGTTTTTTTGTTTTTTGTGTGGTTTTTTTTTAATTTAGCTACAGGATCTCACTACGTTGCCCAGGCTGGCCTTGAACACTTGGCCTCAAGCGATCCTCCCACCTCAGCCTCCTGAGTAGCTGGGATTACAGGCATGAACCACAATACCCCACTAGTTCCTAGGTCTTATTTACTAGTATCTTCAGGGCCCCACACTTGGCTCAGTACCTGCACCTAGAGGTACCCAGGACACATCTGTTGAGTGAATTACTTTGCCACCAGCCTATTCGCTTCAGCATATTTTTCACTTTACCAATTCAATTAGCAGACATTTCTTTTATGTTGTTAATGCAAAGAAAAAGCACAGAAGAACTATGCCAGCTCCGGGCCTCTCTACCTAGTGGCCTGGAAATTCAGGCATTCTTATTGGTGGAGACCATCTATTTCTGGTTAGAAGCTGTCTAGACCTACTGCTCCTCAATCTGAAGGAAATCACAGGTACATCTGCCTACATGTACCTAAACTTGCTAATGTATTTTATCTGTGTGAGCTGTCTTTTCCAGGGAGAAGTGAGAGAAGAAAAGAGAAAAGTACACAGGTAGAAAATGAACATTCAGGAAGTATTTTGTGCTAGGCATTTTTATGTAAGCAATACCACTTTATTTAAAGCTCAAACTTTCCTCCAACGTAGTTATTTTTCTTATTTTACAAATAATACATCTAAGGGGATTTCAGTAGGTTGCTCAGAGTCATATGACTAGTTAGTAGCAGAGACAAAGTTCAAACCCAATTCTTCTGCTTCCAAAGTCCTTTCTCATTGCAGCCCACATGGTTCTCCCAACTAAATAGAGACTCCCAAACAATCTAAGAGTCCAATAGGGAGAGGGATACATTTGGCAGTAGATAGCAAAGTCAGGTATGGAGATCTCAGTCTTACAAAGGAAAGGATAACAAATAAATCCTGGAAAAGGCAGCCCTAGGAAATCCTTCTGATCCTCATTACAAGTCCATGAATCTGCTCCAGGATCAGGTGAGTCTGAGAGGTCCCAGGGCTCAGAAATCTTGCTCTCCCTGTGCTCAGTAAATCCACTTTGCTCCTATGCCTGTGTCTTTTGATCTGATTAGGAGGCAAGCTGCAAAGCCTTGGGGACAAACTCCCTCAAGCCCATCTCAAAAGTGCAGCAGCAAACCTGAGCAAAGGTGAGGGAAAAGGCTTAGGGAGGAGAATCCCAAGACACTTCAGGCTCTCACACCAACAACATATGTGCATCTTGGCTTCAGAACCAGAGATCCACTTTCAGTGCAAACTCTGCCTCTTACTAGCACGGTGGCCTTACGTTGTGTCGAATGAGGATGCTCTGTGTTCCCACACACTCAAGGAAGTTGCAGGGGAAAGCGACATGTCCAATTAAGTCCACTTGATGGGTCAAGGGCCTCAGCATGACATAAACCTAATTTACTGGAATTAACTCGTTAGCCCATCTGATCAAGGCAGATGAGGTTGAGATGTGTGGAAGGCCAAATTATAAATTCAAGAATAACTAGTTCTAAATCCCCATGACACATAACTTCCTCCAGTCTCACCTGACAAGTATGAGCACCCTCGTTTCCACCTGACCTCATCTGGGACTCCAGATTGTTCCATATGACTTTCTTTGGAGACTTTGATTTCTACTATGGTCAGTCTTGCCTCTGTGCAAGGCTAAGAACATCCCCTCAACCCATGTAACGGCCTTGTTATATGGCAGGGCATGGCCATGACCAGCTATTCTTCAGGACTCTGGATGCTTTGAATAAAAACTAACATTTCTACTGACTGTAATTCCTAGGATTCAAGTGGCCCAAGTTGATGGCAAAGGGTTCCTTTAATACCGAGGGGATCTATGGCTCTGGGGGTGGAGGGGAGTCAAGATACCAGCTATGCTAACTAATGATAACACAGGTTGAATATCGTTTATTCAAAATGCTTTGGATCAGAAGTGCTTTGGATTTCAGATTTTTTTTTTTTTTGGAGTATTTGCATTATACTCATTGGTTGAACATCCCAAATCCCAAATCCAAAATGCTTCAATGAGCATTTCCTTAAAGAGTCATGTAGGTGCTCAAAAGTTTTGGATTTTTGGAGCATTTCAAACTTCAGATTTTTGGATTTGGGATACTCTGCCTTCAATAGCTAAATTCAATTGAGCACTTACTATAGAGCAGGCTTACTTATAAAACTCTCCCAACATATATAAGTCATTTAATCTTCACAACATATCTTTAAAGTAGTTGTTATTATTATCATTGTTCCCATTTTACTGATTGAAAAACTGAGGCACACGGAGGATAAAGCCCAAGGTCACACAGTTTCTAAGTGGTGAAGCCAGGATTTAAACCAAAACAGTCTGATTTCAGAGCCTGCATCTTTAACCAGAATGTGATTCTGCCTCCACTCAAAGATGTATGTATATCCCTGTGAAAGTTGAGTCCTGTGAGCAGGGATGCCTTCCAACTCTGTCATCTAAAGAAGCTCTGCTTGACCCTCCTCCAACAGAGCATACCATGGCCAAGAGAGTCGCAGTGATTGGCGCCGGCGTCAGCGGCCTGTCCTCCATCAAATGCTGCTTGGACGAAGACCTGGAGCCCACCTGCTTTGAGAGAAGTAATGACATCGGAGGACTATGGAAGTTTACCGTGCGTGGTTCACATCCTCCCATCTCCATCAATCGTAATTTGGCCATGTTCTTTATCTCTGCTCAGAGATGATGGCTTTAGCCTGCCTTGTTGATCAAGTGAGGGAGCAAGCTCACTGCAACCACACAAACAAGTGCACGGCGCCGTGCTAAACACTACGCAGGATGCAGTCTGATCAGCGAGGAACCTTGAAGATAGGATAGGGCCAGGGACAGTTGGAAGAGAGGGGAGGGAAGAATAAGCCTGATAGACAAACATGGTTTTGGAAGTTTATGATGATTTCTGGACCATGGACATTCTATTATAAGATCAAGTAGCAGAGTGTCACATCAGGTCAACTGAAGGGCATTGGTGACTGGAGCAGATTACACTCCAGGGAGCATGGCAGTTGGCATCAGGGAGTGAAGCCCCAGCCCTCTGGCATTGTTCAGGTCTTTGGGAAGAGAACTGGCGAGAGTGAGGCAGGACCCCGAACCTTGGAAGTTCTGGGGGGCAGGGGAGTAGCTTTCATATTATCAGAATAGAAAGAACCTAGGCACTGGTGAGTCCTTCTGAGAAGTGGAATATGCACCCGAGAAGGCTGCACTCAGGACCAGGCCAGCTGTTAGGTGACTTGAGCATCGGAAACAGGGGGGTAAGTGGTTAAATACCACCTGCCTCTGGGAAGGGTTGTCCTGGTTACTGGAAGTATTAATAGCAGGGTATTTGGTGGGGACAAAGGGATTTGTTCCATGGTGGGGTATAAGAAGGTGTCAAAAGATGGGAGCCAGGCAGGCCCAAGTACTAAATCCCACAGGGGGAAGAAAAGAACAATTTTCTTTCAATGCTTGTGAATGAGGGAAGTCTCCATGGTAGAGATGGTATTTGATGAATTTTTGGAGGATGGTGAATAAAACAGAATACATGAATGTATGTAGCCAGCAGTGGTCATAACCTTAGGACTATAGCATGCTAGAAGAAAAAAAACTTTGTATAGTATGCTGTGGGCCTCATCAAGCCACCAAATGTCAATGTGAAAAATATTGTGTCTGCTCGGTATACCTTCTGCTATTTGACCCCATGGTTGGTTTGATTTCCTTCTACTATTCTAAAGGAATACAGATTAATTTTAGAAAATAATATTGAGTTAAACAAAAGGAAAAATACAAATTAAATATCATCACAATACTCATAGGGCAGCACTATTAAAATTTCAACATAGGCCGGGCATGGTGGCTCACGCTTGTAATCCTAGCACTCTAGGATGCTGAGGCGGATGGATCGTTTGAGCTTAGGAGTTCGAGACCAGCCTGAGCTAGAGCGAGACCCCGTCTCTACTAAAAATAGAAAGAAATTAGCTGGACAACTAAAAATAAATAGAAAAAATTAGCCGGGCATGGTGGCACATGCCTGTAGCCCCAGCTACTGGGGAGGCTGAGGTAGAAGGATTGCTTGAGCCCAGGAGTTTGAGGTTGCTGTGAGCTATGATGATGCCACGGCACTCTAGCCCGGGCAACAAAGTAAGACTCTGTCTCAAAAAAAATTTTTTTCAACATAATTTCTTCTAGTCATGCATAGTAGTCCCTCAGTATCTGTGAGGACTGGTTCCAGGACATCCTCCCCACCCCAGCAGATACCAAAATCCATGAATTCTCAGGTCCCTTATATAAAATGGTACAGTATTTGCATATAATCTATGCAAATCCTTCTATATGTTTTATCATCTCTAGATTACTTACAATATCTAATACAATGCAAACCCTATATAAACTATAATATTTAAGGAATAATGAAAAGAAAAAAAATCTGTACATGTTCAATACAGATGCAACCATCCTTTTCTTATTCCAAATATTTTCAATCCTTGGTTGGTTGAACCCACAGGTACTTTAATATTTTTTAAATGTTATTATAATATTAATTTGTCATTCATTCAACAAGTACTTATCATGTTCTTCCACCAGGGTACAATGTTGAACAAGGTAGACAGGGACCCCCCCCTCCTTACGGTCTGGTAGGAAACAGAGACAGTGAACAGGTAATTCCAACACAATGTGATCAGGTCAACGTTAGAAGTACAAGGTTCAGTGGAGCTACGACAGCTACCTTATGCAGGGTCACAAAAGGCTTCAAAGTGACAGCCAAGAAGGAGACTTGAGGGAGAAATGTGGCTTAAGAAAGATATTATATAGATTTCGGTTTCTTGAGCAAAAAAAAAAAGAATTAAAAAAATTTAATAAAAATTTTTTAAAAAGATATTGTATTTAATTATTCCAACCTCACCAATAATTTCTAATAATTAGAGCATGGGCACCCCATGCTGACTTTTCTGAAACTCTTTAAAATTACAAATGAAACACTAACTGCTGTGACCACCACCCCCCGTCAGCTGGACTGGCATGAGCCACCCTGATTTCGGTTCTCTTTCTCCTATCTCCCTCACCCTGTCAAGCTAACTATGCCTTCACCACAGGAATCTTCTAAAGATGGGATGACCCGGGTCTACAGGTCATTAGTAACAAATGTCTGCAAGGAAATGTCATGTTATAGCGACTTCCCTTACCGAGAAGATTATCCCAATTTCATGAGCCAAGAAAAATTTTGGAACTATCTCCAAGAATTTGCTGAGCACTTTGACCTCCTGAAATACATTCAGTTTAAGGTAAGATACTTGGTGTTATGGAACATTGATGAATGGGGGCTGGTCTACTCAGCAATCTAATGGAAATGCGATGTTTAAGTAAATGTTTTCTTCATTTTTATCTCTCTACATAAATAAGGCAGGGAGTAAAGACTCCTCGCTTCTGTCTGCTGCTCATGTTTTACTCAGATAAACCATCAAAATACTGAATTTCCTGATGTCTCTTCTAAATTCCAAACTCTTACTTATTCAAGGCAAGGAAAGGAGAAAGAATTTTGTTCATGACACCCATTGGGAAGAAATGACTTGAAGTCTGAATCACAGAAATTATAATGGGGAAGAACTCATTTTCCTAAATTTTCCAAAGCATAACATATTATAACTCATCTCTTTCTCACTAGGAATAAGGACTGTTTCTTCCTTCCAATGAATAGATTCAAATGTCTTGGGTCCAAGTCTATATTATCACCTTTGAGAATTTGCACAAGCGACTTAACTTTTCTGAGGAGATGATAAACCAATACTTATAGACGTCCTATCTATGGGATTTGGCCAACTTAAAGTTAACAGACATGGTTATCATACCAGTCATTGCATGAGGTCTGAAGGTCTTGGTGGGAAGCGAGTGTTTGTCTTTCACCTTTAGACCACTGTGTGCAGCGTAACAAAGCGTCCAGACTTCTCCAAAACCGGTCAGTGGGACGTTGTCACCGAGACAGAGGGTAAGCAGGAGAGAGCTGTTTTCGATGCTGTCATGGTTTGCACTGGATATTTCCCGAATCCCCGTTTGCCTTTGGAGTCCTTTCCTGGTGAGTCATTTCTTCTTCCTTTTTCTTTTTTTTTTTTTTGGCTTTATTTTGTTGTTACTGTTGTTTTGTTTTTTTATTGTGTGTGTATACCAGTCAAATGTGGCAGTGGGGAGGGGGGCTGTATACCAACTTCAGTGACACTAGTGTTAATAAGTTCTGATAACCCACTACTGTCTAACCAGCCATAGTGAGTCATTTCTATCTGAGACTGTGCCTACTCTTCTGGGTTCTTCTGGAAGAAAAGTTATTGATTTATAATTAGAAATGTTTCCCCATGATGATAAACAACTTTATATTCACTCACAAAAATAGTATGTACAAAATTATTTTGAAGGCCGGACGCGGTGGCTCACGCCTGTAATCCTAGCACTCTGGGAGGCCGAGGCGGGTGGATTGCTCAAGGTCAGGAGTTCAAAACCAGCCTGAGCAAGAGCGAGACCCCTGTTTCTACTATAAATAGAAAGAAATTAATTGGACAACTAATATATATAGAAAAAATTAGCCAGGCATGGTGGCGCATGCCTGTAGTCCCAGCTGCTCGGGAGGCTGAGGCAGAAGGATTGCTTGAGCCCAGGAGTTTGAGGTTACTGTGAGCTAGGCTGACGCCATGGCACTCTAGCCTAGGCAAAAGAGTGAGACTCTGTCTCAAAAAAAAAAAAAAAATTACTTTGAAAAGTATAAAGCACTAGGTAGGCATCAGGTCTTATTATTTACTTACTAAGTATAAGTATTATTGTTTAGACGTTATCATGTGTGTCTAATTCAAATTCAGTTATCAATCACATAAGGCTCAAAACTATCAGATCTGTCATTTAAAACAACGAGCTTTGGTCTAATAAAAGTGGTTCTGTGGTGATATTTGAACCACAGAGAGGTGCCTATCCAGACACCAGAAAACAAGACCCAAACCATAACCAAGCTCTTTTTCTGCTGTGACAAGGGGTCTGGTCGTCATCTGTGGTGTATGTATCTCGCTTTGTAAACCTGTCTTGCTCTTGCTCTATAATCCTATCTTGCTCCCTGTCAATAAACTTCACTTCATGCTTGTCTTAAAAACAAACAAACAAGCTTTGCGCAGTGGCAGTATCGTAGCCAATGAGGTTTATCCGAGGCGCGATTATTGCTAATTGAAAACTTTTCCCAATACCCCGCCATGACGACTTGCAATATAGTCGGCATTGGCAATTTTTGACGGTCCCCACGGGACTGGATTTAAAAAAAAAAAAAAAAAAAAAACAAACAAACAAAAAAAAAACAAGCTTTGATTTGGAGGGTTGAATTACAGGTCATTTGACTGACCTATAATTCAAAAACTTAAGCTTTTTTCACTAACCTGATGCTTTAAAAAGAAAAAAGAAAGAAAGAAAAAAATCAAAAACTTAAGCTGCGTGCAGTGGCGAACACCTGTAGTCCCAGCTACTTGGGAGGCTAAGGCAAGAGGATCTCTTGAGCCCAGGAGTTTGAAGCCAGCCTGGGCAACATAGTGAACTCTATCTCAAAAGAAAAAAAAAAAAAAAAAACACAACAACAAACAAACAAAAATAAAAACTTAAAGGAAATAAGAGTATAAGAAAACTTGACAGATTTTTTTTAAAGAAATAAACTGGAAGTTTTGCATGTAAAGGAATATATTCACTCCTCAAACTACTCAACACAATAATAATCCATATGCCTTTTAGACCAAGGCTATCCACAAAGAAGAGTTTTAGAAATTCCCTTTGGAAATGCTTTTGACTTCTGACAGCACATTATTTTTAATATTAGTATATTTACTCCTGATTGGCAAATCTCTACTTTTCGAGGTCAAAGAGGACTATTTAGAAAGCTAAAAGCTTTCTTTTTTTTTTTTTTTTTTTTTGAGACAGAGTCTCGCTTTGTTGTCCAGGCTAGAGTGAGTGCCGTGGCGTCAGCCTAGCTCACAGCAACCTCAAACTCCTGGCTCGAGCGATCCTTCTGCCTCAGCTTCCCGAGTAGCTGGGACTACAGGCATGCGCCACCATGCCCAGCTAATTTTTAATATTATATCAGTGGCAATTAATTTCTTTCAATTTATAGTAGAGACGGGGTCTCGCTCTTGCTCAGGCTGGTTTTGAACTCCTGACCTTGAGCAATCCGCCCGCCTCGGCCTCCCAGAGAGCTAGGATTACAGGCGTGAGCCACTGCGCCCGGCCAGCTGAAAGCTTTCTGATGAGGGAAATAAAATTAGTCAAATGAGGATTATTAAGACGTAGTAAAGCTACTCTTCTGTCATGTATTAGTGGCCCTAAAGACAATTGATTCAGTGAAGTTTTAAAATTTCTCTGAAGAATTGAAAGAAATTTTAAGAAAGAAAGAATGTGAAGAATAAAACTTGCAAACCTTGGCAAGAAAAAAAATGAAAAATAAATCTTATAAACACAATCACAAATTAACAAAAAATTTTATTCATAAAACTATGCTTAAGAATCAAGTGAGGCTGAGCATGGTGGCTCACTCCTGTAATCCTAGCACTCTGGTAGGCCGAAGTGGGCGGATCACTCAAAGGTCAGAAGTTCGAAACCAGCCTGAGCAAGACTGAGACCCCCCATCTCTACTAAAAAAACTGAACGAAATTAATTGGCCAACTAAAAATATATAGAAAAAATTAGCCGGGCATGGTGGCACATGCCTGTAGTCCCAGCTGCTCAGGAGGCTTAGACAGAAGGATTGCTTAAGCCCAGGAGTTTGAGGTTGCTGTGAGCTAGGCTGACGCCACAGCACTCTAGCCCGGGGAACAGAGTGAGACTCTGTCTCAAAAAAAGAGGTGGCTACTTAGGGGGGAGTGAGCCGTGACTCCTGCCCCATTTCAATGCCTCTCTGGACCTGATCATTCAAAGGCGCTTGCATTCCTCAGACAAAATGTTTCTCTTACTTCTGAATATAAATTGTCTTTTTCTCTTTTCTTGAATTAATTTTGATTCGCCAAACAGTTCTCTTTTTTTTTTTTTCCTGGCACTGCATTGATATAATCATTGACTCGGAACTACCTACATATTCTATATTTTCTCGTGCTCAGAATGCAGTCACAGAGAACCTATCATTTGCAAAACACTGTGTGAGGTCACATGAAAAACACAAACTCCATGAACCAAAGTTGAGCCCTCAACTTATTCTCTCCAGCAAAACCTCAACAAATGGCTGAATGCCCCATTCTCTAATGCATTTGATGCATATTCTGTTCCCAGTTCTTGAAACCCTCTTAGTGCTCCCCTTTTCCAATTCCTAATCATCCGTCAGATTTGTTCCTTTAAAAAAAAACAATCTCCTCCTCCAGAATACCTTCCTGGCTCAGCCCATGCTGGATGCCACACGGGAGCCATCATAGCACGACCTGTTCCAACAGGCAGGGTGGCACCCCGCCTGCCAGCCGAGCTCTTCGGTCAGACATCCTGAGCTCCCGTCTGGGCTCTGGTGCTTACTGCACGGCAAGTTGCTCAATATTCCAGGGCCTCGATCTCAGCTTTGGTAACGTTGAATAAGAATATGGCTATGATCACACCACTGCCCTCCAGCCTGGGCAACAGAGCAAGACCTTGTCTCTGTTGGGGGTCGGGGGGGAGAGAACATGGTCCACCCTAGGGTGTCTTCATGAGGTTTAAATTAGTTAATATGTATAACACCCTTAGAAGAGTATGCACGTGGGACTGGCATAGCAAGGGCTAAAGAATGGTTAGCTATCGTCTGTTTATTTAACTATCCCCCCACTGAAGGACAAACTCCTTGAGGGTAAGGACTGCCTTTTATCCTCACATTCCTTAGACCTAACACAGCACCTTGGGGTATGTTGCAAGGACAGGTTGTACAATCACTAGCCAACTGCATTTCTTCTTTGAATGCCCCTGTGGACCTGGTCTGTGGGGCTTGTCCTTCTCCTGCCCCTGGATTAAATGACTCCAGCTTCCACTTTGTGCTCCATAGACTCTGTAAACTAAAATGCTCACCACCACCCCCACACCAGCTGACTGAATGGACCCCCTCGTGGCCAAAGGAATATCCTAGGGCAAAGTTGCCTGCCAGGAGGAGGGAGGTCAGACAAGCCTTACCATGCCCCCCTCCCTTCTTGGAGACTTCCTTTGTAACCCACTAACAGGCCTAAGGGTATGCAAGACAAACCTGCAGGTCCTCAATTTATGCAACAAATGGTGGCTTATCTCTGGTAAAGGGTGCCTGTTAAAACATTCCAAGCCTTTAGACAAAGCTTCACGTCTTCAGCCAATTACAATCTGAAAAATCTTTAAACCCACCTATAACCTATAAGCCCCCCCACCCCTGTATTGATTGATGGCTTTACCCATAACCTTCGTCTCTAAAATGTATAAAAGCCAAACTGTAACCCAGCCACAAGAAGTCCACTTGCCCAAGGCCTCTTGGCAGTGGCTCTGGTCCTCAAATTTGGCTCAGAATATATCTCTTTAAAATTATTTTGCAGAGTTTGGCTTTTTTCCGTTGACAACTCCAAGGGTCAAGGTCACAGTGTGGCCCCCTTGATCCCCTCAGACCTGACTCTATAGCAACATCACAGAAAGTGACACAGCACTTTAAAAATTCCTTTCATGAAATTGTCCAACTTCCAATTCTTAGCAACTCCAACTTCAACCATTTTTAAAAATGTTTTTAAATTTATTTTTATTTTTTTGGAGATGGGGTCACACTCTGTCACCCAGGCTAGAGAGCAGCAGCGTGAACATAGCTCACTGCAGCCTCCAACTTCCTGCCTGGGCTGACTCGATCCTCCCGCCTCAGCCTCCAGAGTAGCTGGACTAGAGGTGTGCACCACCAACCAGCTGACTGCAACCATTTTAGACCCTCAAATTGGATGTGAGGCAAAGGATTGCAAAACTGGCCTGCATACCCATTCTCTGCAAATTCAGCATAGCCAGTTGAAGGCCTCACTTGGAATGCAATAACCATTGTTATTTTCCCACCTTCTGGGGCCTTACCAGACAAAGAATCCTATTAAAATTGAATAGATGTTACTGAGTAAATGAATGAATCAATGACTGAGTGGTAGCAGAATGATATATTCTAGAAAAGAGTTTAATCTGTATACATTAAAACTTCAAAAACACTTGAAGCAGTGGGGCAGGAGGCTATCTAGTCCTCCAAACTGCTGAGCTTCCTTTTCCAATTCTTTGTCAGTGCTCCTTTTCACCTGTCACTGGCCTCATCACCGTTTCCTGTCACCTCTCATAATTTCCACTGCTGCCGCCTCCACCAAAAACAGCCCTACTTCCACTGCTACTACCATTCTTAGAGTATGTGAGTCCATGGCTTATATCTGCCATGGAGATAATTTCCAAAAATACATAAAAAGGAGAAATATTTGGTAGCACCTCTTACATATATAAATATCGTAATAGCTATGCTTCCATTGAAAGAGTCCTAGGAGCTTCATGAAAGATTACTCAGAAACAAGCACAAATAACATAAGAATAAAATGCAAATAAGCATACAGTGTAAAAAAGCATTAAGCATATAGTAAAGCATAAAGTGAAATAAGCAGAAAATATAAGTAACATGAGCCCCCATTGCAAGAATAATGTTTTACAAAAGAACTTGCCACTGGCCAGGCAAGGTGGCTCACACCAGTATTCCTAGCACTCTGGGAGGCTGAGGCGGGTAGATCGCTCAAAGTCAGTAGTTCGAGACCAGCCTGAGCAAGAGCGAGATCCCGTCTCTACTAAAAATAGAAAGAAATTAATTGGACAACTAAAAATATATAGAAAAAATTAGAAGGGCATGGTAGCGCATGCCTGTAGTCCCAGCTACTCGGGAGGCTGAGGCAGGAGGATTGCTTGAGCCCAGGAGTTTGAGGTTGCTGTGAGCTAGGCTGATGCCACGGCACTCACTCTAGCCTGGACAACAAAGTGAGACTCTGTCGCAAAAAAAAAAAAAAAAAAAAATTTCCAGCTCAATACCATATATCTATAAATATTACAATTCTATGTTTATAATTCTCAAAACATAATAAAAATACTTAACAGATATATAGATCAGGTAAAATGAGTTCAAGAACAATGACATATGAACAGATAGTCATATGTTGATTTGTGTACAAATTCACCAATCCTCTGATGTTATAAGACCAAAATGTTATAAGACCATTCGAAACACATTGAAGAAAAAATACTACAAAATGATGGACATGTATTTATCCTTCTTGCTTTACTTTTTTAGGTACTTCTCAGTACTAGAACTGGTACCTGGGTTATCGGCCGCTATTCAGATGGGGGCTATCCTTTTTCTATGATGATTACAAGAAGATGCTATAATTTTATTGCACAAGTTCTGCCTTCATGTTTCCTAAACTGGATTGGAGAGAGGCGGATGAATAAGAGATTTAATCACGAGAATTATGGATTAAGTATTACAAAGGGGTACTTAAATCTTTTTATTTAATAGAAAAATTATTAAATCAGTATTTCTCATTCTGCTTTATTCAGAACTTAAAATGTTCAATAATTGTAATATTGCTTTTGTTTATCCCATTCTAAACTTATTACCCTAAAACAATGTCCATCAGGTACCACAGCAGTTCTTAAAATAGGAATATTCTCTGTCTGGTAAGAAAAGCAATAATTTATGAAACTAGAAATGATTCATGACAAATCAGAAAACTCAAATTGGCTTTGAGGAATCCTGAAATGACTGCCATATGGCAATGATGCCATGCAGCAGCAGTGAGTGCAGATGGTCAGCTCTAGCTAACCTATAATAAATGTCTCTTCTGGCTGAGTGATTTGAGGTATGAATTTCTAATAGGAATTCCTATATATATTTTAACATACATCTGTATAGAGTTGCACATTGGCAAGAAAAAGAAAACCTTTAAAATGCATGTAAAGTCATTAAATGTGATTTTATTATATGCTTGAATGCTTGACCCAAATACTTTATATTTTCCGTTGGTAAGACTTTTTTTTTTTTTTTATTGGCTTGTGTTCTGTTCCTTGAGCTATCTTTCAACTTATAAGGAAAACTAATGGCAAAGGATGATTCAATATGTAAATTTTATAAAGATATATGTTTTTATTTAAAGAGTTTCTTGCTAATTTCTTCTTAGCCTAATGTCATTCCCTGGAGGCCTAGGTGATGTCAGACCCAAAATTGATCATCAAATGGATTATTGTATGCTCTATCCTATTATTGATGCTCTGAGAAAAACATTGCTCCAGAAATTAGTTCCAAGAGATGGAGAATCTTAAACCCCAGGCAGGAAGGAGTAATTTAGTCATTTTCCACATGTCTTTTACTGGGAGTGGGAAACAAAATGTTTTGTTTTGTAAAACATGTTATAAACATAATAAGTCAGGTAGATGACTTTGAATTAGACATTGGTCAATTCACTTCCTTGGCTTGGCAGGTGATTTCCCTGAATTGACTATATAAATCATTAGCTGAAGTTTCTCATAGATATAATGACCATGAATAATTTTCTCTTCTGTGTCAAAGGAAAAAATCAAAATTTATTGTGAACGATGAGCTGCCAACCTGCATCCTCTGCGGGACAGTCACTATGAAAACCAGCGTGAAGGAGTTTACAGAAACCTCTGCTGTCTTTGAAGATGGGACAGTGGAAGAAAACATTGATAGTGTGATCTTCACTACAGGATATACGTTTTCCTTTCCCTTTCTTGAAGAACCTCTCAAAAGCCTCTGCAAGAAGAAATTGTTCCTATACAAGTTGGTCTTTCCGCAAGTCTGGAAAGAGCAACATTAGCCATCATCGGCCTCATTGGCCTTAAAGGGTCCATCTTAGCAGGCACAGAACTCCAAGCACGATGGGCCACAAGAGTATTCAAAGGTACTTGCCCTTATTTAAAGCCTCTCTTTGAATCTTAAAATTAGTGCCCTGCCATTTAGCTAAAATCAAACAGCTGTGCACTAAAGTAAAGTAACAAAATACTTTTTTTAAAGCAATGAACAATTAATTGTATTTGCAATATGACGGGTGTGCTATGTCGTTTAATGTGACTGAGTGGAAAAAGAGGTTTTGGCTCTGGATTAAATAAATTTGGACAATAAAACGTAATCAAATTTCTCAGATTAGCTGAAATTATTGGAAGCTTCAGGATCCTGGTCTGTTCTAAGCTATTCTAGTTTAGTCTATTAAATTCTAAGTCTTTTTTCAGTGTTATTACTATTTTTTAAATTAAAACTTAAGAGCACCAGAGAGAATACTCCTAAGTCTTTACATTTATTACCAGAAGTATAATCTTATATTGCTTCCAAAGAAAAATATTGGAATAATGCACAATGTAAATAAAATTGAGATCCGAGGTGACAGCAACCGTTAAGAAGCACCCATAAAAATATTTTAGACACTGGAAACCACTTGCTGTCAGTTATGTAGTAAGAGCGCAGACGCTGGTCTCAGAACTACCAGGGTCCAATCCCAACTTAGAAACTCATTAGCTTTGTAAGAGCCTGCCAAATCTCAACCCCTTCCTCCGCAAAATGAGGATAATAAACCCTCTTTCTCAAGGATTTTGTGAAATGGACAATGTCTGCAAAGCAATTAACACAGTACTTGACGCACCGTGAATATTCATTAAGTGTCCGCTGTTGCTCTTACTGTTGCTATCAGACCTCCTGACAGCAGGGCAAGCTTTAGATTAGGAAGCATTTTAAAGAATTGCAGTTGAATGGTTTTAAATATAAACAGCCATCACAATAGTCTCAACCAGCTGTCCCATAGCAGAATTCTGTCCTTAATGAATAAAAACAATCTCCAGTAATGTATAAATAGCATTTAACATAGTACTAAGTAGTGTTGACTTCTATTACACTGTACAAATGTAATAATATCAATCATACTTAAAAACCTTATGTTCTCCTAAACTGACAAAAATCTTATTTGAATAGAGAAGGGGCCAATTAAAGTGCTTTCACAGCATTATCCAATTATATTAAAACCGCAAAGACTCTTAAGAATGTGGTTGTTTAAAGTATTTTATGGTGAGCTCCAAAATACTTATTAGAATGATAAAGCTGACAAAAGAAAACTCATTATATATATATATATATATTGGTTGTTTAAAGTATTTTATGGTGAGCTCCAAAATACTTATTAGAATGATAAAGCTGACAAAAGAAAACTCATTTTATGTATATATATATATAGAAAGAGAGAGAGAGAATTATTTTTAGACAGGGTCTCACTCTGGAGTGCAGTGGCGCCACCATTGCTCACTGCAGTTTTGAACTCCTGGGCTCAAGTGGTCTTCCTGCCTCAACCTCCCTAGTACCTGGGACTACAGGCTTGTGACCCCATGCCTGACCATCAAAACTCATTTAGATCATGCTATAGAAGTAATTGCATCCTTCTCCAGAGAGCTTCCAACAGGCAATCCAGAAACCACCAATTAAAGTCTTGCAACTGCCTGGGTTGCAAGACCCCATCTCTACAGCAAGACCCCATCTCTACAGAAACTTTTAGAAATTAGCCAGGTGTGGCGGTGCACACCTGTAATCCCAGCTACTCGAGGGGAGGCTGAGGCAGAAGGATCGCTTGAGCCCAGGGGTTTGAGGTTACAGTGAGCTATGCTAAAACCTGGGCAAGAGAGGGAGACCCTGTCTCTAAAAAGACAAATGAATAAATAAATAAAGTCTTGCTAGTTTTTTGCAGGATAAAGTGACTGAGTGGAAAGTACACTACAGAGCTGAGTCCGTCCTACCTTGGGTGAAGAGTAAACCCACACCCTGGGGTCAGCGATAAGTACCCAGCAAGGGCAGGACTGGCCAGAATGGGATGGTGGACAGAGTGGACCAGCAAGGTCACAAGTGGCCTGAGATTGGGTGTGGGAGGAGGGACAGGGTTCACATTAGGGTTAGAGTGGGTATGGCAGTTCCCAGAACCCAGATTACAGAATGGGATTTTAGACTCTGGGGCAGCTGGGCAACCATAAAGAATGACCAGGGTCCAAAGTGTAAGGCAAGAACAAGGTTCAGAATTCAGAAGAGCAAGAAGAGCAGAGTCCGAGTGCTGAGACTGTCTAGATGGGAGACTGGGAACTAGCGGGTCCTCCTGCCAACTCCAACAGACAGAGGCTGTGTGAGATGAGACGCTGCCCGGCCCCTCCCACCCTTGGGGCTCCCCATATAACAAAAATGAAGGTGTGTCAAAGCAGGGTTACAAAATGGGCTCATTATTTGTTTACGTTTAGCCAACTAATAACTTTCACATACATACACATGCACAAAAGTATAATATGGGGCTATATATACAGTATAAGTCATATTGGATAGATAGAAGATAGATAGATTAGATAGATAGATAGATAGATAGATAGATAGATAGATAGATAGATAGATAGATAACAGGTAAATAGCTACAGGGGAGAGAGAGAGAGAGCAGATGAAGGGGGGTGGGGCAGACCAGCTGGTGCCCATGCAGACGACTGGTGAGCTTGGCGCAGGCTGACAGCTGAGCCATGGAGGTGCCTGTCCTCACAATTCTGGCAGTAGAGTACCCTGGTTAAGTGAGTTAGGAGGGAGATTTTACCTCCAGAAAATTACCCTCTGCACTCCAATTCCATACTGAGCTTTGACTCTCGTATCCTCCAAAGGGAGGCCAGAAATGAGAGGGAGAAGAACTTCAGTATCACTAAAAGAAAGCTCATGTGTGACATAAGTGTTGTCCGTGATTTTTCCCACAGGGCTCTGTGAGATACCTCCAGCCCAAAAATTGATGGCCGAGGCTACTGAAAAAGAACAGCTGATTAAAAGGTATGCAATGTAGCTTGCTATAGGAAAAACTTACAAATATATTCTGTCACCAAAAAAATAGGAGTATAAAATCCATTCCCAAAGAAGCAGTGTGGCAGGTTGGCAATAGCTCTACATCAGGAGTCAGAAGAATGTGCTCTTAGGCCTAACTCTGCCACCAGTTAGACATGGGGCCTTAGACATGTCGTATGGGGACATACGTCACATGGGTCTTCTTGGTGGAACACAGAACCTGGCCCTTTTACAGGTGGCAATCCTGTCTTCCCTTGACCCCCCAAAATCCATTCTGTCTTCATTCTCTCCCACATCTCAGCTTGCTCTTTCTCTGTATTTGCTGGTATCTCCTCTTCCTAACTCCTAAAAGTTAATGAGTTCTAAACTTGGTCCTGAGACCTCTCCTGACTTTATTCACACCCACTCCTAGGTGGCCTCATCCAGGCCTGGGGCTTTAAATGCCATCATATACTTACGGCTCCAAAACATGTGTCTCTAACCCAAATCTTTCCCCAGAACTCCAAACTCCTAATCCAACTCTCTCTCTCGATAGCTCCACTTAGATATTTAACAGGAATCTCAAATTTAACGTCTAAAAATGAACGCTCGCCTCCCTCCACTCCCCCATATGCCCTGTAAATGGGCCACTCTGAGACTCTTCCCCAGCTCAGTTAATAGCTACCCATTCCAGCTGATCAGTCAAAAACCTTGGGGTAATCCTTTTCTCCTCTTTTTCTCTCACACTCCACCTCAACGAATGCTCCTATCTTCCGAGGGAATCCAGAATTCAGACACTTCCCGCTTCCCCTGCTGCCGTCACCCCAGACCGGGCCACCCACATCTCTGACCAGGACACTTGCTGCTGCCTCTTCTCTGGTCTCCCTCCTTGCACACCAGCCATGCCACAGTCTAGCCTTACATGGCAGCCAGAGTGAGCCACGCCACATTGCCCTTCTCACTGCCCTCTGGTCGCTTCCCTTTCGCCCCTGGTAGCCTCCCTGCACCCCTGCAGCTCTGCCTGCGCCCCACTGCCTGCCGCGCTCCCACCTCAGCCACATGGCTTCAGGCAGCGCAGCCTCCTCCCCGTCCTCAAACACGCCAACCACAGCCCCCGCGGGACACTTGCACTTGCTCTTCCCTCTGCTTGTTTGGAATGTCCTCCCCCAGACACCCGCATGGCTCACTCTGTTCAAAAGCCACCTCATAAGAGAGAAGCCTTCTATGACAGCACTATATAAAACAGCAACCCACCCAGTCTCACCGCTGCCCTGCTTTACATTTTTCATAATGCCCATGACCACCCGATGTGCCACATATCTACTCGCCGTTGTCGTCGTTGTTTTTAACAGTCCGTTGACTTCCACCGTGAGAATGTAAACTCGTTGATGGCAATGACTTTGTTTTGTTCGCTGTTGGACCCCCAGCACCTGCAATGGTGCCTAGAATGGGACAGCCACTTAATATTTATTTATTTATTCATTGAATGGATAAATGATTGATGTTGGGACATCGTGAAAGTTTACTAACAACAGAAATAAGCGTAAGCAAAGCCTTCACATACTCTATGCCCCAGCTGTAGCAAGCTCAGCCCTGGCTCTCTCCACTCACCGTTAACGTGAAGAAAAAAAATTTAGGTGCTTGTATACGTGATGATTTCTGATCATGTTCATTCATTCAACAACTGCTGCATTTGGACTGGTCAGACTTTATCTTCATATCGAATTCAAGAACCTAAAACATTATTTAAAACTTCTCTTCCAACTGCCTCCTTTTATCCTCTCTAACAAAATTAATTGTCCTCATAGGTACTACAGATAAATTCCATTCATTCTTTCTTTCCAACATAGGAAAAATTTCTCAGACATGGTTCGATTCCCAAAAAAGAAGCAAACTGGTAGGAGGAGGGGCGGATCTGATAACTTGAGAAGTGCAGGGTCCTTAATAAAGAGTCATGCATCTTCTTCCCTCTCAGGGGTGTGATGACGGACCCCAGTGAAGACAAACTCGACTACATTCCCTACATGGACGAGCTTGCTGCGTGCATAGGCGCGAAGCCCAACATCCCACTTCTGTTCCTCAAGGATCCCAGACTAGCTTGGGAAGTTTTCTTTGGACCATGTACCTCTTACCAGTATCGCCTAATGGGCCCTGGAACGTGGGACGGAGCCAGAAATGCCATCCTGACCCAGTGGGACAGGACACTGAAGCCTTTAAAAACACGAATCGTTCCTGATTCCTCCAAGCCTTTCTCCATGTTACCTTATTTGAAAGCTTGGGGGGCACCTGTCCTACTTGCCTGTCTTCTACTCATCTATAAATCACCTTTTTTGAAATTGGTGCGAGATAGACTACAGGATAGAATTCCGCCCTACCTAGCGAGTATTTGGCAAAGATGAATCTGATTGGTCGTGAGGGTTGCACCAAATCATATTAATTCTATCTCCAAGTATCTTGTGCATCCCTCTCTCTCCTCTCCATCACAACTGCTGTAACCTAAATTCAGGTCCAATCATCTCTTGTCTGAATTATTGTACATTCTTCGTCTTTGTTCTCAGTACCTTCTTTCTTGCCACCTACACCATTATTCTAAAATAAATATATGGCCATCTTTTCCATCAAGGTCTGGGTAGGAATAAGGTGGCACTCAAATTAGGCCATGGGTGGAAATGTTAATAGAGAGATTACTATATTTGAAAAGATCTGGGCAGAGTGTGGGAAAATCACAGGGATTATGAAATACTCCCAGACTAGTAACAATGAAGTACCTTTATTATTCCTAGACCTAACCAGGTAAGAGAATAAAGAGAAAGCCAGACCTACATAGAGAGGGCCACCAACAGGAGATGCGGCCTTCGGCTGAATGATACAGGCAGTGCACCATGACTCCAAAAGTAGAGATGTGGAGGAATAGATTGTCTAACCACACCCTCTTCCCTCCCTCTGATCCCCTGGCTGTGCTCCCCACGGCCAAACCCAACAGAAAGTCAGAGGCAAAGCTGCCAACAGACGTCATCCATGGAGGGCAGCCTCGTGGGGCACAGGGCAGAGCACAGACAGTGCAGGGTATACATGCAGGGGCAAACAAAGGGATCAGGGTTAGTCATGCTGCCTCCAGTATAAAATTCCTCAGGATTTCTGTCTGGATTAGAGATAATACTCCAAATTCTTTAGCCTAGCGGAGGGGGCCCTTCATGATCTGAGTCCCTTTGCCCAAGTCACCAGAATCCTCGCTTGCATCTTCCACCCACCCCAATTTTAAGCCCTGCCATCCAGCACTACTGAACTATTGACCTCCTCACTCTGGCACGAGCTGCTGCCTTTGCCAGGCGTGCAGATCTGTACCGTGCCTGACTGGGAAGCTCCCGTGTGTCTTTCAAGAGACCCACTTATCGCACTGTGTGCAGCCTTCCCTAAATCCCCAAAGCAGAGTTGATCGTCCCTGTGTACCAGCTGCACCTTGGGATGCTCTGCTGTCGCTCTTTTCTTACTGTAATATCATTTTCTCTGTGCATCTGTCCCCTAAGAAGTGGTGAGTTCCTGAAACATATCTTAGATGAACATGTCTTGTTCATCTAAAACATTATCTGGTCAAATCACAACTTGGTAGGATAAATAAAATAAATATACAAACAAACAAATAAATAAAACATTACCTGGGCTGGGCACAGTAGCTCACACCTGTAATCCCAGCACTTTGGGAGGCCAAGGTGGGAGGATCGCTTGAGCCCAGGAGTTTGAGGTTAAAGTGAGCTGTGATCACACCACCGCACGCACACCAGCCTGGGTGACAGAGTAAGACCCTGTCTCTAAAAAGATAAACAAATAAATAAATAAATAAACTTAAAACATTGTTTGATACAAAAGTATTGTTAAATGACTATATGATAAACAGTGGCTTCGCCAGCTGGCGTTCCTTGTCTGCCCTTTCCTACCTACATTCTTTTCTTCTGTCAAGGCGATGAATCACCTCAAATTACCTTAGTCTTACAAACAATCAAGGACAGTCCACCAACAGCTAATTTTATTAGTGAAAGACAATCCATGTGGCACTGATGGCAAATATAACTGTACAGTCACCGGGTGCCAAGGGTGCCAGTGGAAAGCACTGACTCTAGAATGGGACCTGGATTAGTCTCAGCTCTGCCATTGTCTGCGAGGCCCTGGCTTAGCCTCTTAAGCCCCAGGGTCCTCATCTGGAAAAACAGCGTTAGTAACAGCAGGTACCTTACGGTGAACATTAAGTGCAGACAATGCAGGGTGTTTGGTACATGGTGAATTAACTATTAATAGCTGCAGAGTTGGAGAACATTTCCTATGCTCTGAATTAAAATATTTGAAACTGCCTGGCTCTGTTTCATGCTGCGTCATCAGGAGGCATGGCCTTTGCTCGCTGTGGATTCTCTGGGAGCACATTCCAGCTAGGATCACTCTTTTGTCCTCGTGCCCCCTGTCACCACGCTGCCATCCCCACAACCACCGCCCTGTGCACTGAGATAGACCATCCGGAATGCGGCAGGCGAGCACGATGCTCAAGTGTTAGCAGTGCACCTCCAGAGTCCACCTGTCCAGGTTTTTACTGACAACAACTCCCCAGTAGAAGTGTAGTGTACCTGATTCTAAATCTCCAAAACCAACTAAAGCTGACAGCATCAATTTCATATTTAAGCTATCTATACACAAGTTGATGAGGGGAGAGAGTAGAACCAAGATGTCTTAATTAGCTCATCATAGCTTAGATCTACAATGTTGCTATTTTTTTCTACATAAAAATTTCCAGACAAGAAATCCAAGACTCAGAGAAGTTAAGTAATTTGCCCTGGTTCATACAGCAAGTAAGAGACATATCAGGGCTGTGAACCCAAATACATGCAACTCTGAACCCAAGGCTGTCTCACTAGTTGCTGTGAGAAACAACTCCCCCGTTTGCTCCTTGACACCTCAATTTGCTTGTCAGTAAAGCCCCAACCTGTACACGTCCTCCTGTAGGAAGCCTTCATCTCCCCGCTCACTCCTCCTTTCTCTATGCTGTCTCTACGCCTTGGACAGTCTTCTAAATATTGTATTTATCACATTTGTGGGGTCAAGAGTGACTTTATTTTAAATGCTAATGCGCCATGTGACTCCTGACTAACCCTGAGTCTGGGAATGCCTTCAAAACATCTAGCTGATGTATTACTCTCTATGTAGAAACACCTATCTACTGTAAGTTTTGCCTTGCCTCCAAAACAAGCCTTCATGTTGTCACATACGTCACAGGCTTTGACACTGGCAGCCACCTACACTTTCCTTCCATAGCACGTCTACTTCCCCCCAAGATATAAGCCCTGGGTCTGGGGCATTGTGGTGCAGAGATCTGCCAGTCTTGCCATTGTCCAAGACCACACTTCTGTCCATTTGTTCCCATAATAAATTAAATCACCCTATACCAAGAAACTGGATTTGTCTACCTCCTTCTTTGGTTTCTTGGCTCCCTTGGCCTTTGGGGGCTGCTTTGCATATATGGCCCTTTCATGGGACATCATTCCATGACCACAGTTCTCAAAGAACAAACAGTACCAGGAAAAGGCCACTGTAAGTGACCTTATTTTAAATGAGAATCAAAACTTCATAGTAAATAGTAGGGGAAAAATTAAGTTTGATCAAGACTTCAAGTTGAGAAATAAAACCAAAAATGATGAAAATAAGTTTGCTTTGCCCTTTATTTAACCAAATTTTTATTATAATTGGAACTATTATAACTATTATAATAACTATAATAACTATTCCCGTGCTAACAGGACTTGCCTAGCTATCTGACAACTGATATGACAGCAAGATAAAACATCTTCCACCTCACACAACATTCTTTACATTTGACTTTCAAAGCAAGATTACAAGATTGGCCATTTTTAAAAAATATTCAGTTTTCACTCATTTTGCCAAGTAACTCAAATTTTAATTCTTTCACATTCGTATCACTCTTTTTTGAAATTCCTCTCTTGTATCACGCTTGCCAATTATCTCTGTCATTCTTAATTTTTTTACATGATTAAACTCTGCTAGATTCAGATTTGCCAATGGCTTAGCAGTTCTCCTTCATGGGATTCATAAAATCCTTCCTATTTTGCAGGATATATAACTTCACTTTGCCATTGATTTGCATTATATGGTTTGCATTTTGAGATAACCATCAGAGACTGACCACAAAGACATTTATGAGAATGATATAGACACACAGTAGACTCTACTGTTGAACAGGGATATGTGTTTGACAGAAAATAAATTTTTAAGTAATTAGTTCATTCATTCATTCAATAAACATTTATTGAGCACTGAATATGTTTCCAGCACTATTCTAGACCATGGGAAAAGAGCAGTGAATAAAAAGAGTTAAAGCCCTTGACTTCATGGAATTTATAATCTAGTGCAAGAGGCAGAAAATAAACAATAAAATGTTGTATAGAGATCAGTGACATGAAGAAAAGGTAGGTTTAAGAGACAAAGGGTGATATGTAATATACAGTAGACGGTAATACACCTGTACCCAGTTGAGTTCTAAACAGGGTGGGCACATGCGAAAGCTCAGCAAATATTTACTAAAGGAAGAAGTAAATAAAGGAATGAATAATGTTTCATTTTTAAACATTTTTAAAATAATTTTTCATTTTAAAATAATGTTTCATTTTTAAAACCAAGACAAGATTTAGAGGTTTTACAAAACTCTGACAATTGAGATTTTTTTTTTTACTATGATTTACAATTCTTAAAATACTTATATATCCTTAAGAAGCACTCTAAAAGGCTTTTCCTAGAGTAGCATTCTGTCATTCTGAATTTTCTTCTTTATCTGGCCTCCTAGTCCTCTGATCACCTCTCTAATCAGTATAGATCATTTCATGGAATCCATAATGGTTACAAATGGCCCCAACATGTGCTGGTCACTCACTGCCTTAGCTTAGTGGAATCCTCAGTACATGGCTGGGGAACTTCTTCATGTTGGAAAGCCACAGTAATTTAGTTATAATCAAATAAGGCCACATTCAAGAAACTTCAATTAAAAATACTTAAAATGTAGATTATTTTGTAAAAATCTGACTACTATGCACTTGATAATTTCAAAAATTGAAAACTACATGTTAATTTTAAAGTTAACTTTTGAATGACTTTGTTGTGTCTGCTTTTGTTGGAAAGCATTAGAGTATTCGGTTGCAGTATGAAGGTCGGGTTTCAGTTGATCCTCTAGATGGGTGTCAGTCATTTGTGACCTTAAGGTCATCTTGATTTGGGTTAGTGGGAGAATGTAGAGTCACAGCAATAAGTGGCTGCAAAGCAAGAAAGCATTTTTCGGGCATGTTGCCAAAGGCATGAATATTCTACTGCATTTTTCCATATTTCAGTTGGATCTTTCTTAGCATCAAGCAATGGCTTTAAAATGTCATCTACTGAGAGCTCAATAAATTCAATCTGTAGTTCTCTAGGTGCCTTAGTGACATCAACCAGGTGAGGCTAGCATGCTAATTTGAGTGTGACGACATAATTCTCAAAAGTCAGTGACGCTTTCATTGTATCCTCCAATAAATAGGTCTACAACAGCTGCCTATTCTTTAAATGATTCCCATATATCATCCTGCTCATCCATACCAGTGCTAACTGGGAAAAAGATTCATCCAAAATTTCTTTTTGAAGAACTATTTTTAAAAAGATAACTTTTTTATAAATGCTTAGATTTTTTACCACGTATCATATATTGACTTAGTTTTACCTTGCAAAGAAATGTTCGAGTCATTTTGATTTGACTTGATATCACACAAAAATGCTACATTCCTATAGAAATCCTCTTTCAATAATTCACATTGCTGTTCTTCATAAAATGTAATTATCTGTTCTCACAGAGATAAAATTTTGGCTAACACCTTTCCCTGTGATAGCCAACACACTTTAGAATAATATGGCAAATCCACACTTAATACCTCATTGTTCAACATTAGCATGTTAAGAAACTGACAATGCCATGTTGCATTTGCCAGAATATGGTTAACAATACTTACGATTTGTTAGAAACTGTCATTTAAAATAATATCTTTAGGGCCGGTTCGTGGTGGCTCACGCCTGTAATCCTAGCACTCTGGGAGGCCGAGGCGGGCGGATTGCTCCAAGTCAGGAGTTCAAAACCAGCCTGAGCAAGAGCGAGATCCCGTCTCTACTATAAATAGAAAGAAATTAATTGGCCAACTAATTATATAGAAGAAAAAATTAGCCAGGCATGGTGGCACATGCCTTATAGTCCCAGCTACTTGGTGAGGCGAGCAGGATTGTTGAGCCCAGGAGTTTGAGGTTGCCTGTGAGCTAGCTGACGCCACGGCACTTCACTCTAGCCTGGGCAACAAAGCAAGACTCTGTCTCAAAAAAAAAAAATAGTATCTTTAGCATAGAGATTTTGCTAATGCAAGATACAATGAAAAGAAAATGAGAGCATCTGCGATCTGTGTAAATTTTGTTATCTGTCGAATAAACCTTCATGATTTCCTGTCATGGAAAGTTCACCATCTGTACATACACTCGCTAAATTTACCCAATTCAGTCCAACTTCATGACATTTTTCTTGAAAGTTGTTGAAGATATTATTCCCTGTTTCTGTCGCAGAGTTCTCAAAGCAAATAACTCTTCATAGCAAAGGAAATCTTCTGTTACAACCCAAAT